CCAGCCCCATGGAGAATCCCAGCCCCATGGAGAATTCCAGCCCCATTGGAATCCCAGCCCCATGGAGAATCCCAGCCCCATGGAGAATCCCAGCCCCATTGGGAATCCCAGCCCCATCGGAATCCCAGCCCCATGGAGAATCCCAGCCCCATGGAGAATCCCAGCCCCATCGGAATCCCAGCCCCATGGAGAATCCCAGCCCCATCCCAGCACATTCCCTGCCCCACATTCCCAATCCCTGTCCCCCATCCCAGCCCCACAAACCAATCCCAACCCCACACCCCAAATCCTGCCCCACATCCCAATCCCTGTGCCTGACCCACACCCCAATCCCTGCCCCACATCCTGATCCCTTCCCCATATCCCAATCCCTGCCCCACATCCTGATCCCTTCCCCATATCCCAATCCCTGCCCCACATTCCCAATCCCAGCTGCTCACCCCAATCCCTGCCCCACACCCCGATCCCTTCCCCATATCCCAATCCCTGCCCCACATTCCCAATCCCAACCCCACACACCAATCCCAGCCCCCCATCCCAGCCCCACACCCCAATCCCAACCCCACACCCCAATCCCTGCCCCACACCCCAACCCCAGCCCCACACCCCGATCCTTGTCCCAATTCCTGCCCCCCACCCCAATCCCTGTCCCAAATCCCAGCCCCCCACCCCAATTCCTGACCCATATCCCAATCCCTTCCACACACCACGATCCTTGTCCCCAACCCCAGCCCCCCACCCCAGTCCCTGTCCCCAACCCCATCCCCCCACCCCATCCCCCCACCCCAGCCCTGTCCCCTCCCCTCTCACCTGGCCAGGTACCGCTGAAGCTTTGGGGTCCCCCCTCGCTCGGGCCCCGTTTTTATCCCCCCGGACAAACACGGTGGGGCCCCGTGTCCCCTCCCCGTGTCCCCTCCCCGTGTCCCCTCCCCGTGTCCCCAAGGGCCACCAGGGGCCGATGGCCGCGGCTTTGGGGCCAGGGGGGCCCCACGGGGCGAAGGTTGTCACCTGCGGTGTCACTGACCCTCGGCCCCTGGGCGGGAGGGGACAGTGGGGACAGCCCGGCTGGGCCAGAGTCCCCCCGGTCAGAGACTGGGGACACTGGGGACACTGGGGACATTTGGGACAGCCCGGCTGGGCCAGAGTCCCCCTGGTCAGGGATTGGGGACATTGGGGACAACAAGAGGGGGGTGGCAGAGGTGGACGGTGGGATGAGATGGAGGGGACATGGCGGGGACACGGCGAGGGGACAGGGGTGTGGGGCAGGGGACATCGGGTGTGGGGACACGAGGGGGACAGCGGGATTTGGGGACACGAGGGGGACACCGGGATTTGGGGACAGCGGGATTTGGGGACACGAGGGGATTTGGGGACAGCGGGATTTGGGGGCACGAGGGGGACACGAGGGGGACACCGGGATTTGGGGACAGCGGGGATTTGGGGACACGAGTGTGGCGCGGAACTCTGTCACCCCGGAACGTTTCCGCTGAGCTCCGGCGGCCCCGGAGGGGTCTCATTCCTGCGCTTTCCCGCCCTCCCCGCTCAGCCAATGAGCGGCGCGCGTTGCCCGCGGCCAAGATGGCGGCGGCGCCCCCCTTGAAGGCGATCCGGGCGGCGCCGCCCGCGATGGCGGCGGCCGGC